TCCCAGACAAAAAATGCTAAGGGAATACATTAGCACCAAACCAACACTGCAAGAAATGTTAAAAGGACTGCTGTAATTAGCAGGAAAAATAGGAAGAAAAATATAACCACACTAAACAAAAATGGCAATAAATAAGTACATATCAATAATCACCTTAAATGTAAATGGATTGAATGCTCCCATAAAAAGACACAGAGTAGCTGATTGGATAAGAAAGCATGACTCATCTATATGTTGTTTACAAGAGACCCACCTCACAACAAAAGACTCACATAGGTTGAAAGTGAAGGGATGGAAAAAAATCTTCCAAGCAAACGGAAAGGAAAAAAAAAGCGGGGGTAGCAATACTCATAGCTGATAAAATAGATTTCAAAATGAAGGCCATAACTAAAGACAAAGAAGGCCACTACATAATATTGAAAGGATCTATCCAACAGGAAGATATAACCCTGATAAACACATATGCACCCAATATAGGAGCACCAAAATATATTAAAAATCTTCTGGAGGACTTCAAAGGAGAAATCAATAGCAATACAATCATAGCAGGGGACTTCAACACCTTGCTGACATCACTGGATAGATCCTCTAGACAAAAAATTAGCAAGGAAACAGAGACTCTAAATGAAGCACTAGACCAAATGGAGTTAATAGATATCTACAGAGAATTACACTCCAAAACTACAGAATTCACATTCTTCTCAAGTGCACATGGAACATTCTCAAAGATAGACCACATGTTAGGACACAAACTAAGTCTCTACAAGTTCAAGAAGACTGAAATCATATCAAGCATCTTCTCAGATCACAATGGCATGAAACTAGAAATCAATTGCAACAAGAACATGTAAAGACATTTGAACACATGGAAGCTAAATAGCATGTTATTAAACAATGAATGGATTACCGAGGAGATCAAGAAAGAAATTTAAAACTTCCTGGAAACCAATGAAAATGAAGACACAACAACACAAAATCTATGGGATGCAGCGAAAGCAGTCCTGAGAGGGAAGTTCAAAGCACTACAGGCCTACCTCAAAAAACAAGAAAAATCTCTAATAGACTATCTAACCTCACAACTTAAAGAAATAGAGAGCAAACAAACAAAAAACAAACAAAAAAAACCTAGAGCAAGTAGAAGGAAGGAAATAGTAAAGATCAGAGCAAAAATAAACGACATAGAGTCTAAAAAAACAATTCAAAGGATCAATGAAACAAAGAGCTGGTTTTTAAAAAAGATAAACAAGATTGATGGACCCTTAGCTAGACTCACCAAGAAACAAAGAGAGAGAACCCAAATACACAAAATCAGAAATGAAAGAGGAGAAGTAACAACTAACACCACAGAAATACTACCATGAACAATTATATGGCAACAAATTCGACAATCTAAGCAAAATGGACAAATTTCTCGAAACACATAGTCTACCAAAACTGGACCAGGAAGAGATAGAAAATGGAACAGACCAATAACAACAGAAGAAATTGAAGATGTAATCAAGACTCTCCCAGCAAACAGAAGCCCAGGCCCGGATGGCTTCACGGGGGAGTTTTACCGAACATTCAAAGAACACCCATTCTCCTTAAACTATTTCAAAAAATTCAAGAAGAAGGAAGACTTCCAAATTCGTTTTATGAGGCCAGCATAATTCTAATTCCAAAACCAGAAAAAGACACTACAAAGAAAGAAAACTACAGGCCATTATTCCTGATGAACATAGATGCCAAAATCCTAAACAAAATACTAGCAAATCGGATCCAGCAATACACCAAAAAAATTATCCACCATGACCAAGTGGGATTCATCCCAGGGATGCAAAGCTGGTACAATATTTGCAAATCAATAAATGTGATACACTACAGAAATAAAATGAAGAATAAGAACCACATGATCATATCAATAGATGCCAAAAAAGCATTCAACAAAATCCAGCATCCACTTCTGATAAAAATGCTCAGCAATGTGGAAATAGAGGGATTATATCTCGACATAATAAAGGCCATATATGGAAGACCTACAGCCAATATCATACTCAATGGGCAAAACTAAAAGCATTTCCCTTAAGAATAGGAACAAGGCAAGGATGCCCACTTTTGCCACTCTTATTTAACATAGTACTGGAAGAAAACTACAGGCCAATATCCCTGATGAACATAAATGCCAAAATCCTGAACAAAACACTAGCAAAGTATTTGTGAGCAATGAGACAGAAAGAAAAAATAAAAGGGATCCAAATTGGAAAGGAGGAAGTGAAACTGTCATTATTTGCAGATGACATGATACTATATGTAGAAAACCCAAAGACTCCATAAAAAATTTACTAGATTTAATAAATGAATTTGGAAAAGTAGCAGGATACAAAATTAACGTCAAGAAATCGATGGCATTCTTATACACCAATGATGAACTCACAGAAAGAGAAACTAAGAAAACAATTCCATTTACCACTGCGGCAAAAAAATTAAGATACCTAGGAATAAACTTAACCAAAGAAATAAAGGACCTATTTGCAGAAAACTACAGGTCATTGAAAAAAGAAATAGAGGAAGATATAAAAAAGTGGAAGCACAAACCCTGTTCATGGACTGGAAGAATTAACATCATTAAATTGTCCATACTACCCAAAGCAATCTATAGATTCAATGCAATCCCCATCAAAATGCCAACGGCATACTTCACAGAATTAGAACAAATACTTCAAAAGTTCATATGGAACCAAAAAAGACCTCGAATAGCCACAGCAATCTTGAAAAAGAAGAACAAATTTGGCGGGATCACATTACCAGATTTCAGGTTATACTACAAAGCCACCGTAATCAAAACAGCCTGGTACTGGCACAAGAACAGGCATATAGACCAGTGGAACAGAACAGAGAACCCAGAAATGGACCCAAGGCAATATGCTCAATTAATATTTGACGAAGGTGGCAAGAGCATACAGTGGAGTAAGGACAGCCTCTTTAATAAATGGTGTTGGGAAAGTTGGACACTACATGCAAAAAAATGAAACTAGACCATCAACTTACACCCTACACAAGAATAAACTCAAAATGGATAAAAGACTTAAATGTGACTCATGAATCCATAAAAATCCTAGAGGAAACTGTAGGCAACAAAATTTCAGACATCAAACGCAGCAGAATTTTCACTGGTACATCACCTAAGGCAATAGAAACAAAGGAGAAAATGAACACATGGGACTACATCAAACTCAAAAGCTTCTGCACAGTGAAAGATACAATCATCAAAACGGAAAGGCTACCCACCGTATGGGAGAGCATAATTGCCAATGATATATCAGATAAGGGGTTAATTTCCAATATATATAGAGTGCTCATACAACTCAACCAAAGGAAGACAAAGAACCCAATTAAAAAATGGGCAGGGAACTAAATAGACACCTCTCCAAACAGGACATACAAATGGCTAAGAGACATATGAAGAAATGCTCAACATCACTAATCATCAGAGAGATGCAAATTAAAACAACAATGAGGTATCACCTCACACCTGTCAGAATGGCCACCATCAACAAATCATCAAACAACAAGTGTTGGCGAGGGTGTGGAGAAAAGGGGACTCTAGTACACTGCTGGTGGGAATGCAGACTGGTGCAGCCACTGTGGAAAACACTATGGTGTGACCTCAAAAAATTAAAAATTGAACTTCCATTTGACCCAGTGATCCCACTTCTAGGAATATACCCCAAGAAGCCTGAAACACCAATCACAAAGAATATACGTATCCCCATATTTGTAGCAGCACTATTTACAATAGCTAAGATCTGGAAACAGTCCAAGTGTCCATCAGTAGACGAATGGATAAAAAAGCAGTGGTACATATACACAATGGAGCTATGCAGCTGTAAGAAAGAAAGATCTCTTACTTTTGCGACTACATGGAGGGACCTGGAAAGTATTATCCTAAGCGAAACAAGCCAAACAGAGAAAGACAAGTATCATATGATCTCACTCATTTGTGGAATATAATGAACATAACAGTCTGAGGAATGGGGTAGTCCCAGAGACGTGGAAGTGGGGTACAGACTGACAATCCCCAGAAGAGGTGGTGGTGGGGGAGAGATAAACCACAGAACTTATATGCATGTATGCATGAGCAATGGACATGGACAACAGAGCTGAGGACAGGGCAGGGAGGGAGGGGGAGAGGGGAATCAGTGGGGGAAAAGGAGAAACATCTGTAACAAAAATAAATTAAGTAATTAAAAAAATATTTTGAGTATCACCCCTGTTTATTACTTTGCTTTATTGAGGGGGCTGGTCCCCTTTTGGGAGAGAACTGCAGAACTCTGGAGGTGAAACAAACATAATGTTTCAATGGACTTCTCAGTTGTTCTCTTGCTAATGAAGAGTTTATGTTCCCCAGTTCCGCCCACCTCAGCCGGGGCTGTACAGACCGAGAGTGATGACGAAGGTAATGAAAACAATCTTTGAAGATATTTGTTGAGAAGCATCTAACAAGCATGGGCTCATTTAGTCCTCTCGACAACCCTGTGAGGATTAAAGTATCACTAAACCCTGGATCATCACACCCTTGGCCAGGCTCACACAGCTGGCAGGACGTGGTGGCGCTGGGACCTCACCTGGGCAACCTGACGGCAGCACCGAGCTTAACCGCTGTGTGTGACAATGGTCCTTTGCATAAGTTGGTGCTTGACTCAGAGCTGTATACTCACAGGGCTTGGCCCAGGCCAGTGCCACGGCCATCCCTCGGGAGCTGGGGACACGCCTCACTAGGGGTTTTGGGGATGTGAGAAGCAAGTCCTGGCTGACCACAGGGGCACAGGACCGGCTAACCTTCCCCTCAGACGGACATGTTGTTCACCTGAGATCAACACAGAGCCCCACAAATAAAGGGAGAACGTGACCCCTTCACCTTGGGAGCTCTGAGGCCTCCAGCCCTCGGGACCCAGAGAGACACTAGGCAGGCAGCCTGCCAGGACGGGTGCCAGGGAGAAGGGGCTTCCGGGGTGGCTCACCTTGAATGAGATTTCATACTGCTCCCCTCCCCAGATCTCCAGGCCTGGGTCGTACCCGCCCAGCACCCAGAACCACTTCCGATCCACGGCGAACAGCCCGCCGGCCATCACTGGAGACCTGTCAGGGAAGAAGAGTGTGGTGTAAAGGCGTGGCCCCCACACTGCTGTCCTCGGACAGTGCTCCTCGCTGTCCCTGAGCAGAGCCACCTGTCGAGCCGGTGAATCCAAGGCCCTCCCGAGCCGGGGCCCGGGCTTTTTTCTTCCTTGCCTACACTTCCCTTCATAAATGCTACACTTTAACCAAGTGGAACCAAAGTTCCTTTACCTGCTTAACACCAAAGAATACTTGTGAAATGAAATCACAGTACTTTCTCCCCTGGGCATTGCACTGCATCATCTCTCTCCAGCCCTCCCACTGGCTGAGTGGTCTGCATCAGGTCTTTCCAAGCCTGTCTAGGCTGTGGAATGACTTAGAGATGAAAAAGCACACAGCTCCCTGGGTCCTACCCCAGACTGCAAAACACCCTGGGGGATGGAGCCTAGGAACCCGTGTTTTCAGACACTCGTTCGAGGACTGTCGGCACAGACACTTGTCTGCTGGCGGCTCACAGAAGCCAGTCTGATCTCTCAGTGACGCGGGCTACGACGCGCCCCACTCGCTCGTTCTGTCTTCGGCTGCTCGCCGAGTGCCAGCTGGGAAGCAGAGGCTGGAGGCACCTGGAGGTAAACCAGCTGGACGGGGACGAGGGGTGCCAGTGTGGCGGACAGCTACCTCCGGACAGAAGATCCAGAGGACAGGTGGGTGCAATAAGGGCCTCTGGAAGGTGCAGACAGCACTACAGGACCACGAAAGGAGGGGGTGTCTGCCTCCAGGTTTTGGAGTAAACGGGGGAGGCTGGGGCAAGAGTCAAGGAAGGATGCTCAGAGGAGTGGCATTTGAGGTGGGTTTGGATAAGTGGGAACTTGGGGGAGGGGAAGGCCCTCAGGAGAAAACAGGAGAAAAAAACACAGATGATAAATTTTGGGGGGCCACGGGGAGCAGTAAGTCAGTATGGCATCGTGCCAAGCCCATGGGGTAACCTGCAGAGACCTGCCCCAGTCTCCATGGTGCCTCACCTGGGCCAGCAACGGCAGGGGGTCACCAGTTTGCCGTGTAAACTCTCTCAGCGCGGCCTTGTCTGGCTCCACTGGAGAACCCCCTTCAAACTGAAAACGCATCCCAGCAGCAACCGCCACGGCCCTCTCGGCCTCGGGGACTGCAAGGGTCCAGGGAGCGAACCGGTTTAAAAAGAACTCGGTTAACCCACACACATCCAAGCTCCCCATAGCAGACGGGCCCTGACAGCACAGGAGGGGTTCCTTTCAAAGGGGGTCCCCTTGACTCTGTACTGAGGGCTTGACTATCCCAGGTGTTGCGCTGGATTAACTGATCAGTACAATGACGTCACTCCTCACGGCGACCACGTGAGGTAGGCCTCATCATTACGATCCCATTTCACACACGTAGAAATCAGGATACAGACAGGCAGCTTGCTCAAGGCCTCACCGCCACTGAGCAGGACTGGAAGCTGTGATCTGCCACACCCCGTGCCACGCACGGCCACAGCGTGCTGCCTCCTGTCAGGGGGGAGCAGTCGAGAGGCAGGTGAGGAGTGAAAAGGACAGGGAGTCAGAAATGGGAAAACCCTCACGGCAAGCTCAGCTCTCCGTAACCAGCGTGGGCCCTTCGGTGAAGGACGGACCCGCTGGGTCCTGCGTGGCCGGCTACGGCAGCCACGGCCACATGTGGTGGCTGAGCGCTTGAAATGTGGCTGGTCTGGGCTGAGGTGTGCTGGACGTGTAGGACACAGCGGATTTCTCAGAAAAGGACATAAAAGATCTCGTTAACGATTTCAAAGTGTTGGTTACATGCTAAAATGAGAACCCTTTAGGCATACAAAATATATGAACAAAATAAATTCTACCTGCTTCTCTTTACCATTTTTATGTGGCTACTAGGAAATTTAAAAGCACATAGGCAGAGCCCGGCCGGGGTGGCTCAGTGGTTGAGCGTCGACCCATGCACCAAGAGGTCACCTGTTTGATTCCCAGTCAGGGCACATGCCCAGGTTGTGGGCCCACTTCCCAGTGGGGGGCGTGCAGGAGGCGGCCAATTGATGTTCTCTCTCATCGATGTTTCTATCTCTCTCCCTCTCCCTCTCTCTCTAAAATCAATAAAGAAAAATAAATTAAAAAAAAAAAAAGCACACAGGCAGCTTGCATTGTATTTCTGCTGGGCGGCGCTCACCGCCTCTGGCTACTTCCCGTCTACACCGCGCCCCTCTGGCGACACTTCCTGGCTCACCTTGCTACTGCATTTCTGAAAATATCCAGGACTAGAAGAAAATAAGGTGTCAATGGTATCAACTCTCCTGTGTCTTCTGAAGGTTGTGGGGTTTGGGTTTTCTGGCTGGAGCCTTAAATACACTGCATGGAGGGGCAGAGTGTTACAGGCCCCGTGTGTCATGAGAAATCAAACCCAAGACTCTGCACATGAAAATCAGCCCAGGTGGAAGCTGGGGCAGGGGCTGAGGAGCTGCTGAATTAGGAGCCACCTCACAACTGGCAGGCTATGGGCCTTAAGGCGTTTGGGACGCTTGCGGCTTTGGCTCCGGAAGGCCTCTCCTGCGGCCCGGTCCACGTTCTGCAATAACGACGATTCTGAGTGTCTAGTGGGCGCCTCTCACTTCACCAGCGTTATCGCCAGCTGTCACGAAGCCCTGCTACTAGCCCCCTTTTCAGATGGAGGAATCTGAACTTCAGAAACGCTACATACTTCGCTCAAGGGCACACAGGGAGTGGGCGAGCTGCGAACCATGCCAGGCAGCCCGGAGTTTTCCAACAGCATCACACCGCGTGTGCCTACGGACTGCCTGTCGTGCACCGTGAGGAGGTGTGCAGAAAAGGACCAGGATTTCTCCTGCGGCCTCTGCCCTGGCTCTGTCCAGGTGTGACACAGGAGACTTCTGGAGGCATCGGAGGATAAAGAGGAGGAACCCTTCCCCAGGAAACCTCCAGGCCAGTGCGCTTGACCTTGGCCACACCTCAGGATCACCTGGTGGCGTCAAATGTCCAGATCTCACTCCCAGACCCTGATGCAGTGGGTCTGGGAGGGCCTAAGTGGGTTTTTTGTTTTGTTTTTTAGTCCCTTCCCCACGTGGTGCCAGTGGACACCAGGGTTGACAGCCACTGCGCTGGGGCTGGGCCACCCTTCAGCAGCCAGGCGAGGGGACTGAGGCCCCGGAGGAAACTGGCTGGGCCTCTGCTGTGCCGCAGGCCCTGCAGGCACCTCTCCGCATCCTGCAAGGAGGACGGAGGGGCCGAGACCCAGCCTTAGGCACCTTTCAAATCTTAGGATCTAGGAATCGGCTCACGGCAAAGGGTCGAACCGTGAAGGGGGTTTTGGTTACCTTGGAAACTCCATTTCCCGGGGCAGCCCACTCTGACCTCAGCCTCTGCGATGTGTCATCTTGGGCAAGTGTCATTTACTCTCTGCCTTGGACTAGGAAGGGCTCTCATACTAGTGTCTGACCATGTTGAGGACACAGGGGGTCAGGAGGACAAAAGCCTGACCCCCTAGAGAGGCGCAGGGGCTCTGCTCATGCCCTCCCCCCCGGCTCATGCTGCTCCGTCACCCCAGCCACCTTCCACCGCCTCAGGGAGGCCCACCTCTGCCCACCCCTGACCCTTCGCGGGGCCCACCGCATTAGGGGCTCCCTCCAGGACCCCCGGGTGCGCGCCGTGCCCAGGAAGACGGCTGCGCTGCCAACAGCCCCTTTCTCAGGTGGGGACGGCGGGGCACAGAGAAGCCGGTGTCCACTGTGGGGTGTGGCACAGAATAATGCTGCCCCCGAGAAGTCAACGCCCTATTCCTGGCACCTGTTACCCTACACAGCAAAGGGACTTTCCAAATGTGATTAAGGTCTTGAGATGGGAGGTTATCCTGGGGCCCGATGGGATCACAGGGTCCTTATGAGTGAAAGCAGGAGGCAGTCAGAGGAGATGTGATGCCGGAAGAAGAGAGGGAGAGAGATGGGGGAGGGGCTGAGAAGGGCGAGACACAGAGATAGGGATGGGGAAGGAGAGATGTGGGGAGAGGGGGAAGGGCTGTGGGGACATGGGAGGGGAAATTGGGGGACTGGAAGCTGCTATGATGCCTGCTGACTCTGAAGGTGAAAGAGGGGCCCTGAGCTGAAGAGTGGGAGCAGCCTGCGGAGCGGAAAACGCGCCCTCCTCCGGAGTGTCCGCAGGCAAGGCAGCCTGGCCGACACTGACTTTAGCCCAGAAGGGCTCACTTCAGATTTCTGACCTCCGGCACCTTCAGAGAATTGACTTGTGGGTTTTTGGAAGCCAGTAAGTTTGCGGTAACTTATTACTGCAGCAGTTGGGAAACGAACCCAGCAGGGGAGCCTGGACTTTGGCCTCGTAGCCAAAGATCTCCACGTCTCCGGCAGGAGAGCCAGAGTGGCCCACATGGCAGCTGCAGAGCCCACGGTGTGAGAAAAGACCCTTCCCAGAGCGTGGGCACCAGAGAGGGCCTGGGCTCTGTTTCTGGCTCAGCCACTCACTCACTGTGTACCCCGGGGGGCCTCAGCCTCCACCTCCGTAAGGGGCTGGAGTCCATGGCCTATGGGTTCCTTCTCGCTTTCACATTCTTGGATGCTATGAGTCCAGTCCACTCCCCCCAACTTCCACCGTGGACAAGCTGTTGTTTCCCTAACACGTCCAAAGGGCGTAACAGAATGATGGGACACCTGGCTCCGGGGCAAACAGACCTGCGAGTGTATCCAGCCTTTGTCACCTCCTGGCTGTGTGACCCAGGCAAGTTGCTAGACTGCCTGCAACCTTGATGTCCACATCAGAAAACGTGCATAATTTAAATAACAGTCGAGAGAGTTAAAGATGATCAGGCTGTAACGTGCTCAGCATGCAGTTATCGGCACTTAGAAAGTGTTCAATGAGTGGTGGCGATAATGACGATGATGATTACACCTGGTGCCGGGCCTGAGGGAGGGACCACGAGCAACTCTGCTCAGCCCCGCGGGCAACGTTGGCAACTGCGTAGAGGTGGGCAGGGAAGAGAGGACCAGCTTGGTGGTCCATGAGCTGAGGCTCTGTGACAAGCTGGGATGGGCTGTGCTTCTGGTTGGGGACATCTGCCCCGGACCCTCTGCCTGGACTGTTGGGGAGGTGGTAGTTGTGTGTGTTGGGGGATCACTGGGTCAGCCACTGAGACCAGCTGGTCGCTCATACTTACTCAAATGGGTCACTGGGGTCAGCCTTCTGCAGTTCTGGAGGGATCGGGATCCGCTTATAATACATCTCCCAGTCAAAGGCGCCCCGCATGGCATCCCCTGCCTGGGTCTCGTACCGGAAGTCGTCGTGGTCAATCACGTCGATCATCGGGCACACGATGGTCTTGCGGTTCCGAGCAATGCGGTCTGAAGGAGCCAAAAGATGCCCGTTAGGGAGGCAGGCTGGGGGAGCAGCTAAGTGCATGACCCTGTTCTGCAGCTTATTTGCATTTTTAATGTGTTCCCTGGGTGATTTCTCTGAACACTTGAGCTTGAGAATCCTGGAGAGATAGGGAGGGTGCAGGCTTGAAGCAAGACGAACCAGGGCTCCCATCCCAGTCCTGAAGCCTAGGACAGGGCCGTGGGCCAGCTACACAACTAACGCCTCCAAGCCCCAGCATTCGCCTCCGGGGGTGCCTGTGAGCTGTTGGGGCAGATGATCTGCCACAAGGGACGAGTGGACTGTGCTGGGGTGCCAGGTGGCTCTGGGCAAGGAGTCAAGTTCAAGACTTGGAATGGGGAGCCTGGTAGGGTCAGAGCAGGTCGGCAGCTGCCACGTGGGGCGTGTTTACTCCTCCCCAACCCAGACCCAGTGAACTGGAATCTCTGAGGGTGGAGGCACATCAGCCTTGTGACAGGCTCCCTGCAGATTCTTCTTAAAAAAAAATTTCTTTTTTCTTTACTGATTTTAGAAAGAGAGAGGGGAAGGGAGCGGGAGAGACAGAAACATCGATGAGAGAGAACATCGAATGGCTGCCTACTGCATGCCCCCCACTGGGGATTTGGTCTACAACCTGGGCATGTGTCCTCACCGGGAATTGAACCAGCAACCTCTTGGTGCATGGGTGACGCTCAACCACTCAGCCACACCGGCTGGGCCCCCTGGGAATTCTTAACGAAGCAGAACCTTCTCCAGGGAAAGAGGTAGAGAAGGGCCTTCCCTCCTAATTGTTGATGGCCTTTCAGGGGCTCTCACTTCCAGGGAGGGTTTGGGCTGAGGGCAGAGTGATCTCCTGGGTGCCAGCTGACCGCGAGAGGTACGGGGTCAAGGGCTGCACCAGGGAGGCTGTGCTCACCTGGGGACAGAATGCCCAGGTTCGAATCCTGGTTCTGTCACCTAGTAGCAGCACAACCTTGGGAAAGGTTATCTGATGCCTCCTTTCAATCTCTGCTTCCTTGCCAACAAAATGAAGGAAGACAGCACCTATCTCATGGGGTCTCTGAAGACTGAGTGGGACAATGGGGCCACGACACTGGGGCCACGCTGCCTAGCGGGCGATCAGCACTCCCGACACTGTCTTCGACCAGCGTTGCTGTAAGGAGCCCAGAAGCAGGCGCTGGAAGGCTGAGCATCTCCCTCATTCTCTGTGCCCATCAGTTTTCTCATTTGCAAGATGTGGATCGATAATGATGCCTTGTCTGCCTGTTCTATCACGTAACCATCAAATTCAAATGGGGATGTGGCCTAAAAAGCTAGGAGACTAGCAGAGCCATGATGATGATGATGATGATGATGATGATGATGATGGAGGAAATGATGATCAACAGTGGTTTTCCTCTGGTGTGCTGAATCCTCACTCAGAGATGCTTGCTCTCCGAAGAAGGCAGAATGAGCTGTGCACAGAGGTGTTAATGGTTTCAGACACAAAAGCCATAATGTGCTCTGTCTGCTGATCATATTAGCAGGGCAGACTTTTAAATCTACACCACTGGTTCACATTTCTATTGCAAAAAGAAAAAAAGAGAGAGAGAGAGAGAGAGAGAGAGAGAGAGAGAGAGAGAGGGGAATGCTTCTTCCATGTCTGTCTGCAGATTATGAAAATTACCCTCATATATTTCCATAGAAACAGAGTTAAGGGCTATTTAGACGACCGGCTCGGCTTCCTGCCCCACCACTCCATTCTCTTTATGAGTCACCGAATGACCCAACAAATGGTTGTTCCTTCAGGACTATCAATTGGGCGATTTATGGTGAGTCTTTTTTACTTTTTGTTCTCTTTCAGTAATGAGAGGCAGATGCAGCCCTCGTGGTTTAATTAAATCAACAGTTTACCAGCAAATCTGGGTTATATCCTTTTCCTGACCCAGTGGGGTCCTGGACCCTTGGAGTCAGAAGCACCTAATCTGACACTGAAGTTCCATGCTGATCTGTGTGAGAACACACCTTGCTGGGCTGGCCCATTTAACTGTGGATTTTACTTTCCGTCCTCACCTCTGAATAGTGGCCTAAGCAGCGCTCCTCAAAGTGTGGATCTTGGACCAGCAGCACTGGCATCACAGGGGAGCTGGTTAGAAATGCAGCTTCCGCCCTGGCTGGTTTGGCTCAGCGGTTAGAGCATCAGCCCGCAGACCGGAGAGTCCCGGGTTCGGTTCCCACTAGGGGCATGTACCTCGGTTGTAGTTTGTCCCCAGCCCCAGTTGGGGTTGTGTGGGTGGCGACCCCTTGATGTGTCTCTCTCACACTGATGTTTCTCTCTCTCTTTCTTCCTCTCTCTCTCCCTCCCACTCTAGCAGAAGATAAATACAAAAATGTCCTCAGGTGAGGATTGAAAAAAGAAAAAATGCAGCTTCTCAGGCCTCACCCTGTACCTTCTGAACTGGAAACTTGGAGGTGGGGCCCAGCACTCTGTGTTTTAACAAGTCTTCCAGGTGATTCTGATGCATGCTCAAGTTTGCCCTGAACCTCAGTCCTCTTTGCTCCCTAAGCTGTCTGTTATGGGGGGCATACCCATCCACTTCTGAGGGGTTCACCTCTCTCTCTGGTTGATAACTCTTCCCCAGTCGGCCTCCATCGCCATCCCTGGCCTGACGCCCCATCTCAAAGGCAGCCCAGCTCCCTGCCTTTATCAAAGCTGAACTCCTCAGGGTTCAGGCATGGTTCTCCAATCAGCCATGAGACGCCAGCAACCCTGTGTCTCCCTCTGTCCGCAAGGCTACGGTGGACAGCGCCCGGATCACACTGCCCTCCATCTATGGCCCATCCCTGACAGTTGTCAAAAACCCGCCAAAGAAAAAATCAATTTAGGGAGGCAATGTGGAATCATGAAAAACAGACTCTGGAGCCAGACAGATGGTGACTTTGACACTTGCAGCCCAAGGGAATAAGTGAGTCATTCAGTATCTCTGAACTTCAGTTTTTCTACTATAAAATGGGGACACTTTCGGCCTGGCATAGTTTTGTGAGACTTCGAGATAATGCTTGCAACCTTCCTGGCTCATAGCAGCAGTGCAGTGAATGGTAACCGTTCCAAGTTGATAGGGCGATGTCCCTTCACAGTCTGCCTCTTAGCGGGAGACAGCCTTGGCTTGCGTTCTAAGAACACCTGAAGTAATCTGGGGAGTGGTCATGTCACTAGCGATGCATGTGCTGCGTGACTCTGGGCAAGTCACTTCCCCTCTGAGTCTCAGCCTCCTCTGTGAGATGAAGGGGCAGGACTGAATGGGTTCCTAAGGTCTCTTTGAGCGGTCCTGAACTTCTGAACCCCTTGGCCCCTGGCACGGTGCTGGGCGCATCTCAAACAGGCGAGGGAACCTTTGTGGATGACCCCACGCAGAAGGCTGGGCCCGTGGCGGCTGGGCGGGTGGCATTCCAGGTCGCCTGCCTTGTCTTGGGAGGGTCTCTTACCGAGCAAGGGGGGGAGCCAATTGACGTTGGCTTCACAGTGTGAGTCCAAGAATGTGATGACATCCCCGATTGCTGCCGAGGCCCCCAGCATCCGGGTCCTTATCAGCCCTTCCCGTTTCTTTGTTCGGAGAATCCTCACGCTGGGGAAGTGGGCCATGTAGTCTTCAAGTGGCTTCTTCAGGTGCTCTGTGAGGGAGACAGAAGAGGACAGAGGGATGCCGGGTAAGAGCTGCTTAGTGATCGTTCTTGTGACCTCTCCCTTGCAGGCGGCACTGCACTTGACCGTTTAGACACAGCGTTCTTGTGCGCTGCCTCATTGCACCTTTCAGAGAGGGCCAAGGAGGCAGGGATCACTGCCTGCATCTACAAATGGGGACACTGAGGCTCAAAGAGGCCCAGTGACAGCGCCAGACCTGGAACACAGAGATCTTCTGTGAGCAGCTGTGGTTTATGCCTGGAAAAGGCCCAGTCCCTCATTTTCTGGTAACAATATTCTGACTTTTCTTTGGGAAACTCCCCCTCTCCTCAGCCCATCGGAGCTGGCTGGGGCTGGCTCCATCTCCTGGTTCCAAGGCGGAGGAGCATGCAGCTTGGGCCTGACCCATCAGGGCACCCCAGGCCCTTGGCCTCAGTCATTGGTCCAGGGGATGGCCATGTGACCGGATTTGTCCAAATAATGAATCCTGAGGGTTTTTCAGAACTACTGATAAAACAGGGCCCCTTCTTTTTGCTAGAGTTAGTTATGTTGTTGGCCATAAGTCTGGAGCTGCTGGGGACATCTTTGGCAAAACGAGGTGGTAAGAGGTGGTGGGGGGATCTGCTGGGCCTGAAGCTAATGTGTAAAAAGAGAGGCAAGAAAAGGAGAGACATTATGCTGATGACATTTTGATTCCTCAGTGCCCTGTGCCTGACGCAGATAGATTTCTCCATGTTCTTTTGCACGTGAGAACACATTCCTTTTTATGCCTATTCTAATGTCAGCTGTATTTCCTTCCCACGTGTGAAAAAATTGTTTTGAATAAATCTGAAAAATAGTTTCTTTCTACTAAATGTTGGTGTTTCTTAATTTCAGGGTTTGGGCCCTTTATGAAAACTGCAGTGTAACTACAAAAAAAAAACACAACAAAACTCTATAGTTTATATCATATATGTATATATTTTTTAACATTTTTTCTCCTATTTATCTTCAGATAGTGTGAGGGGGAGAACGAGAGAGAAACACTGATGTGAGAGAGACACATCAATTAATTGCCTCCCCTACCATCCTGACCAGGGCCAGGGATTGAACCACAACTGAAGTATGTGCCCTTGACCGGAATGGAACCTGAGACTCTTTGGTCCTTGGGCCGATGCTCTAATCGCTGAGCAAAACCGGCCAGGACAGTTTACATCACATTTAATGATGTATGCTTTCTCATCACTTCTATTCAGTATTGTACTAGAATTCCTGGCTAGTGCAATTGGTAAGACAAAGAAATAAGGCACAAAGATTGGAAAGAAAAAGGTAGTAATGTCTTTAACCAGAGATGACATGATTGTTTACATAGGAAATCCTAAGAAATCTACAAAGAAAGTAGAACAGGTAAACTTAACATGGTTTCAGGATATAGGTCAACATTTTCAAATCAATCATATTTCTATTTACTAGCAAATAAAAAACAATTGTAAAATGCAATTAAAAATGGTAAAAATACCATTTACAATTTTAAAAAAAGAAGTACAAATTGTAAAATACAAAACATTGTTGAAAGGAATTAAAAACCAAAATAAATGGACAGATAGTTCATGTTCTTAGATTGGATGACTTAATATAGTTAAGATGGTAATAATACCCCCCATATTGATCTACAGATTCAACAGGATTCAAATCACAGCTGATTTCTTTGCAGAAATTGACAATTGACAGTCAATCCTAAAATTTATGATAGTGCAAGGGATGAAGGGATCCAGAATAGCTAAAACAATAATTTGATTATTTATACATGAATGTTTATAGCAACACTATTCACAATATCTAGGTGGTGGAAATAACCCAAGTTTCCAATGCCTTATGAATATATCAACACATATAGAGTATATGCATACAATGGACTAATACTCAGCCATAAAATAAAATAAAGAACTGATACATGCTACATCATGGGTGAATCTCAAAAACATTATACTAAGTAAAAGAAGCCGGACACAAAAGGTTACCTATTGTATGATTCCATTTGTATGAAATTCCAGAATAGGTAATCCATAGAGATGGAAAGCAGATTAGTGATTACCAGGGGCTGGGGTCAGGGGAACTGGGAGTGACCTCTTAATGGGTATGGGATTTCCTTTTGGGATAAACAATATTTTGAAACTAGATAGAGGCGATGGTTGCACAACACTGTGAGTGCATTAAGTACCAATTGATTGTATATGTAAACATGGTTAATTTTATATGAATTTTACCTCAATTAAAAAAAACGGATAAAGGATATAAATAGGTACTTTTCCAAAGAAGATATACAATGGCCCATAAGCATGTGAGAAGATGCTTACTATCAGTCATCGGGGAAATACGAATCGAAGCCACAATGAAATACCGTACTACTTTACATCCCCTAGAGCTGATGTACTCAGAAAGTCAGATAATAACAACAGTTAACAAGGATGTGCAGAAATAAGCATCTTCACGTACTGTTGGTGGGAATGCAAAATGGTGCAGCCACTTTGGCAAACAGCCTGGCAGCTCCTCAAGCAGTTAAACACAGTTGTAACCCAGCAATTCCACTCCAAGGTGTACACCCAAGAGAAATGAAAACGTATGTCCACACAAAAACCTGTACACTCATGTTCATAGCAGCAATCTTTACAATAGCCCCAAACTGAAAACCATCCAAATGTCCATCAAATGATGAGTGGAAAACAAAATGTGGAATAGTGTACCATAGAACACTGTTCAGCAATAAAAAAAAAAAGGAGCAGGCTATTGCAACACTACGGACAGGCCTTAAAAATATTATGCTAGGTTAAAAAAGTCAGACACATAAGCCTAGATATTATATGATTTTATTTATGCAAAATTTCTAGAAAGGTAAAAACCACAGAGACAGAAAGAAAGTTGTGGTTGCCTAAAGCTGGGTTGGGAGTGGGGACTGATTGCAAACAGGCACTAGAGAACTTTTTGGAGTGATGGAAATATTCTAAAAATAAATTACGGTGATAGTTTCACAACTGTATAAATTCACTTTAAAACACATTGAACTACAGACTTAAAAGGGTGATTTTTATGGTATGTAAATTATATCTCCATAAGGCTGTTACATTCTAAAAAAAAAATCAATTGTATTTTTATATACTGGCAAAACACAATAGGAAAGTACAACAAAAATAGCATTTGTAACAGTCTTATATATAAAGACCCAAATAAGTGGAGAGATAAATAATATTTATAGATTGGCAGACTTTATATTAAGAGCCAGTTCTGAGCCCAGAAATAAACCCATACATTTAAGGTCAATTAATATTTGACAAAGGAGGCAAAAACATACAATGGGGTAAAGATAGTCCATTCAATAAATGGTGTTGGGAAAATTGGAAAGATACACACACAAAAATGAAACTAGACCACCTTCTTATACCACACACAAGAATAAACTCAAAATGGGTTATGAACTCAAATATTATACTTGAGACCATAAAAAACCTAGAAGAAAACACACGCAGTAAAATCTCGAACTTTTCTCGTAGCAGTATTTTTTCTGATATACTGACTCAGGCAAGGGAAACAAAAGAAAAAGAAACAAAAATAAACACCAAAAGGTTGTGGGTTTGATTCCTAGTCAGGGCACATACCCAGGCTGCAGGTTTGATCCCTTGTCGGGGTCAAACCGATCGATGTTTCTCTCACACATCAATGTTTTTTTTCTCTCTCTCAAATAAATAAACATATCCTTGGGTGAGGATTAAAAATAAAAAAAGGAGGGAGCATGAGGGACCTTTCTGGGGTGAGGCAATTTCTATATCTTGACTGGGGTGCTGCTTTCCCAACTGTATACATTTGTTAAACCTCATGGAATTGTATACTTAAGATATCTGTACATTTTCCCCACTGTTTATAACTTTTAGCTCAATTACAAAAAATACTGGTCAGGACCCTCACTGTGTTAGCTGGGGAGCTGGAGTGCAGTGGCAGGGTCACTGGCTGGGCGGGGGGACTGGGCTGTGCTCCCTGCCCGTCTCTGTTTGCTCCGGGTCTCAGCGCATTTCTGAAACCAGAGTTTGGACCACAAGGTCTTCAATGGCCCCGAGCCCAGGCCTTGCAGAGCTCTTGCCAGCCCCTGGGGTGATCACCTTCCCTAAACAGAGCCCAAATCCTGCTCTGAATTCGCTCCATTGGGGCTAGACTGGAAGGGCCCTCCTAAAGCAGGGGTATGTCCAAATCACCCGGAGAGCTGACTAAACGAAGCTGCTGGGGCTTCACCCCAGGTGATGGTACTCTGGTAGACCAAGGGGAGCACCCGGCAGCTTTAGTTTCACTTGACCACAGTCAGGGGACTGCAATGCACAGCCAGGCCTGGAACCCACTGGGGTATTTCAGTTTCTTCATTTTATAGACAGAAAGCTGAAGTCCAAAAGGAAGGGACCACCTACAGCACAGTGAACAGAAGAGCTGTGTTTCATGCCAGGATCCCAGGCTCCAGAAACTACTAAAGCTTTTATTTTTATAACCCTGTAAAGAAATTGCCCTGCACGATTTTGCTTAGTGGTTGGAGCATTGGACTGTGGACCAAGAAGTCACAGGTTCGATTCAAAGGGCACATACCTCAGTTGCAGTTCGGTCCCCAGCCCTAATCGGGTTGTGTGGGAGGCAACCAATTGATGTGTTTCTCTCACATCGATGTTTCTCTCTCTCTCTCTCTTCCTCCCTCCCACTCAGTCTCAAGATAAATGGAAAAGAATATCCTCAGATGAGGCTTAAAAACAAAGAAATGAATCACTTTCACTGGTAAGGAAGGTTATGATTGGCAAAGCAGCTGACAGATTTTATCTTCCTTGGTTCATAAAATTATACTCTTCATTTGACGGATGAGAAAACTGATGCTCAGAGAAGCCAAGATACTTGTCCGAAGTGATACAGCCAGGAAGTTGCTGGGCTCCTGCAGAATCATAATGCTTTCCCCTTCCAGTCATGGTTTCCAACGCCGGCAACC